TTGTTTAGCTTTTTAATAAATTTTACTAAATAAAAATTGATATGTAAGTTGTTGAGTAATTGCTAACTTTTTTTGGCCAATTTTTTTGTAACACACTGTAATAGATTGTTACGTAATGGATATTATATTTGGAAGAGGAAAGACTATTAATCCCTACAATTCGTGAGGAATAAACATTAGAAAAATAAACTGACATATTATATAGCCTGAGTCGCCACAACTCGAAGCTATAATTTTTTTCGTTATATCCTATATATTAGTAAATTTCAAATCGACGTCCCGGTTATGGTAGACATAAACTCTCTTTTTCTGATCCGCGGATAATTAATTTTGATTTGAAAAAATATATTCATAGTTATAGTCCACACAATTATACCATAACAACAATGTCGAAAGTAGCTACAAATTTCGTGAATCAGTATAACTTAACTCCTCAGATGAGTATAGCTGAGCTTGGTAATTATGCTGAAAAAATATGTAAAGAGATTAAAGATTATAAAGCCCGTGATCACGCTCGAAATAGGATCCAGAAGTTAGGGTTTAGCAAAGATCAAACATATGCTTTAATTCCTATCCAGGCTTCCGGAAGGCGTGTTACAGGGCGAGACCCGATTAAAAAGCTCGCTCAATATATTAAGGAAAATGAAAACAATCTTGAACCTGAAGAAATAAATACGCTAGCATATAACTTAGCTAAAACAGCTCCCACCATAATAGCTCAATCTTCACGTCTTAAATTGCTCCGAAAAGAATTACGCAAACTCGATGCTGATTATATTACAATAGAATCTATATATATCCCGGATATCACTCAAAGATCAAATAAAGAACAAGCAATAAATCAGGAACTCCGTGAAGATAAAGGATATGATTGTCCCGAATTCTTTTACTTGGAAAATGTCCAGAAAAGACTTAAGGATTGTAATACTGCCAATTCCCCCACAATGCAAAATTTAATGGATATAATGATAATGTTATGTATGAGGCCAGCGGATGTTGCAACTCTTCGAATCAACCACTATTCACCGAGTAACGAAGAATGGTATGATCCTAAATATTCTTGGTATTGTACTGGTTATGCGAAAAATAAAAATAATGAGCCTCGTCCATTTGTATCTATGGAGAAAGATCCATTACTAGCTAGAGAATTACTCATTTGGATCCAGAAAGCAATTACTAACGAATTCCCATTTTTAATGAGAGATAAAGATGGTGATGTGAATGTTTACCCTATTAATAATTTCCTAACTGTTTATGGAATAAGCTCATCATATTTGAGAAAAATCGGATCTGATCATGCTATTGTTATTCATGGAAATAAGAATGATTCCAAACGTAAACGTCTCCGTCAATTAGCATTAAGACAGAAGGTAATTAATATCGCATCAGATCATTATGGTATAATGAATAATAGACCAATTATTCCAGTACCTAAGCAAGAGAATGATGAAGTCGAGGATATTATAGACTTATACAATTACTAATCGCGCTTCTTCACTTTTACCACGTCTACAGTAAAATCTTCATCATCATTAGATGATTCAGAACTAGACCCAGATTCAGATGTGGATGAGGACTCAGATGCGGTATCGTTAAAAATTGGTTTTTTCTAGCTTTGCATGAAATATGTTGCCGAGAAATATCTGGGTTTGCTATCGCGTTTATAATATTTTGCTGAATCTCGGGTTTCACTATCTCCAGTAATTTGTGAAGAGAAATCCGGATTTTTTTACCCGATACTTGATTAACAATATCAGATACTACTTTATCAGCAATATTGGGTAAATTTTTATCGCAATCTCATAAGTGATAATTGGACATTTTGAACCCGAATCAATTACACTCTGTTGCTTTAACATTTCTTCGATTTTTTTATAGACACTTTGTATTGTCTCAAGATTATCAGCTTCAGTCATCGTAATAGTTAAGTTGTTTTATAAATACGCAATAAAAAAAAATGCAGAATTAAATATATTGTTATAATAAAACATCATAACGAGAATTTTATCTTGCGAAATTAACAAAGTACCAGTTAAAATTATATTAGATACGTCGGAAGTAGCAAATATATAATGAGTTATAGCAGAGTAAGAGATAATTTAAGTGACTATGGTGAAAATTATATCGTTAGCAATATTAAAACGTCAGAAGCATGGTTACGGTTTGCAAAATATTATCCACCAAAATATATACGCAAACGTTTATTAAAACTAGGATATGAAATAAATAATAGAGATTACTGGGAAAATTTTGTATTTCGTATCAAAAATAATTTGACCAGCCATAAACAAATAGGTAATGATCCTAAATATAGAGATTTTAAGGTTCAACTAGCATTATATAAAAAAAATCGTGCATCAGAAGACATATCGTTTATGGAAAAAACAAATTATTTCAGCCAAAATAATCCAACATGCAGTAATTAAATGGCTTTATAGACCTGGTGGATCATTTATGAAGCAAGCCAAAGATCGATATTATCAAAATTCGAATAAGCTCCATCATAATAGCATTGGGAGTAAATAATAACGAAATATACCTTAAGGAACACTTCCTCCGTGGATTGTCTCGTGATAACCAGTTAGAAGCCAGAAGATGTGGAACAGACCTGTCATTAGATGAGTTGGTTGCAAAGTTAAGCGTGATTGAGAATATCTGGAAAATTCATAGTATATACGCCTAAAATTAATTATCTGAACATTAGCTTTTTTTCTGATTAAAGATATATAATATATAATTAAGAATGGTACAACTATTGCGGAGCAGGCCGTTAGGTGATGAATCGGAGATTCGAGACTCTGTCTCTTCAAAGAATCATGACCCAAAGGGTCTAAATATTTTTGATTTACCGGAATTACTAGAACATATCTTATATTATTTAGAAATTGATCGATCCCTCTATCCCGCTTTGTTTGTCAACCACTTTTGGTATCACTGCGGTGCTCCTATTCTATGGCGTCGCGTTGAGTTTTTCAACAAAAATTATCAGCAGAGTCGGCGTGCCTTAAATATGTCTCGGGTTCTTACTCGGCGATTGATAAACTTTAAAAGAGTTATGCATAGAAAAATAAAGCCACTCTATTGTTCAAAGATGGTATATCTCAGGTTAGAAGGTTTAAAAATCTCAGATGCATTGATCAGTGCAATTTTACATTCATGTCCGAATATATGTTTTCTCATTCTTGATAAAAGTAAGGGTTTCACTAATATACCAATTATAGAAATTGCGAGATATTCTCCAAAACTACAGCATCTGAGTCTTAATTCATGTATATGTCTCACTAATCGATGTATCACTGAAATTACTCACTCGTGCCCAAAACTTAGACATCTTGAGCTTGGCTATTGTTCGATTGATAATAAAGCTGTCGAGGAAATAGCCCACAACTGTACTAATTTGAAATATTTTAGTTTAAAGAGATGTAAAGGAATTAACAAAGAAGTAATAAAAAAATTTAATCCAAAAATTAAAATCGAATATCCAGACTATTCTGATGATGAACTCTCGGATTCTGATCTACCCCCACTTATTCCAGATTATTCCGATGATGAATTCTCTGTTTCTGATTTACCTTCACTTATTCCAGATCCATTAAGGGTATCTCGAAGAGTTATCTTTACCGGTGGACCTAATAGAATGGTTTCAACTAATACATTAAATGTAACAGATCTTATTTCTGCAATTAGAGTATCATCAGAATTTACTGATTCAGAACGAATTAATTTATTAAATAGTCTTGCTCGAGCCATTGATCAAGGACTACATCGATCGTGGCAAGGGTTTTAGGCAGATAATTAATTATCCGAACATTAGTTATTTTCGGTATAATCTCATATATTTATTGTATAACAATGACACGAAGTGCCTACACGAAATCTTTATTTAACCCATGATAATCAAGCCTCAAAGAGGCGCCTAAAGGCATGATATATTTACATTAAGAACAATAAATTTCTATTGCTTGATACAGACACTAAGTGGCTATAAATTTCGAATTTAAATTCATCACAAAAACATTATTTCTTATACCGTGCTGGTAAACCTTTTTTTGCGCGTTCCAAATCTATGAATGGAAAATATAAATATCAGTTCTTGACTATATGTAGATATAAGCTTTATCTCGCCTATACATACCTATATTCGTTCTTCTATGATTTTTTAGCTTCACATCGTTATTTCCAGAACCTAGCGTTGGAGGAAGATATTCTTGTGATGGCTTATCATCGTTATTGTCACCCCAATCCAACTCATAATCAGCGAAAAGAGAACCAAACTTTCGTTTTTGTTTAATTACCGTACTGTAGATATAAAAAACGACGCTGTGACGAACTCCAGCAACGACCGGCAGATTTCCATGAACCAGGAGGTTTGATCGAAAAGCCACCGCTTGGCCTTGCTTAACATGGACAATTAATTTTAATTCCGGAAATGTCAGCTCTTCACCTTCGAAATTCCCAAGTGGACACACCACGCAAAGCGTATTTCGATGATCTTTCAAATCACGGTGAAACTGGCAGATGATGTTAAAGTTGATGGCGACTGTAGGAAAAGCTCCAAAGGATTTCGGAACATTGGGACCAAGATCGAGTTTTTTCATCTTCGTATATAAATTAGGATACGTAGCTTCAAAGTAATTGTTAACCGAATTTGAAAGCGGTTGGAGGCCTTGAATCAAGCTTTTTACACATTCCATATGCGCTTTATGGTGAGAGGAAGCAGTGTTTGACGTGGTATATGGCAAATTATTACTATCGGCGAAACAACCGAAATGTTCTATCAAATCCGTCTTGAAATTCTTAGACTGATGCGTGGGATCGTCGAACATATGCTTACAGTATTTGTCTACTACCGCTTCTGATTTCCTCGCCGAGACTTTGTCAATATTAAAAAAATCCACCACAGTTTCCTCCAACGTGTTCGTAAAACATTGTGAATTAAAAACGTGTTGAAACCCATTAAGACTGACACCACTTACAACGATCTCTGTTGTTTCTTCAGCGATGGATAGTTTATCACTCGGGTGACGTAGAAATGTTTTGTGAATATTCTAACGGCTTCTCTTGGACCCCCACATGGCGGTAAATACATTTCACTTGAGACCAGAGACGACGACAGTAGTGACGAAAGCGTTGATTAAAATTAGGTCCAGCGAAAAAGCATGCCCATAAGGCGAATTCTTTCCACAATTGTTTGTGTTCTGGAGATTCTTTGGAATAGTTACGCTCCATTTGATCCGCTAGCCCATCTAGAATAAAGATCTCTGATTCGAGCAAACACATAAACTCTTGGGGTATATCTGAAAAAGTTGGAATCGCTTGAATGCTCTGGGGCGGTAAAGACTTCTTTCTAGCAACATCATCCTCATATAAATTCTCCTGAATTATGTTCGAAAGTATTTCGAGATGGTGATCGGATAGTACAGCAAAATCGAGTATATAAGTACCGGTTTTTATAGCATTAGATGGAAGTAAACCCTGGTCAAGCGATCGCCGAACAACTTGTCTCTGCCGTCTCTTCTCAAGAAATTTTTCGAAAAGGTAAACTGAGGATTCAAAAAGGTGGTGGGTTATAAAATTTTACTCGGTTTAAGATCGCTGGCAAGAAAATCTTCGGATATCCATTGGGATATGATATATTGACGAGTTTCATTTTCCGTTAACTGGCGAGTCTCCAACTGGGTTTTATGCTTAAAATAACAATAGGGATAAAATCCATCTCTAGAGGTGCGGTCATATGCCTTGGAAAGGCACTCTTATAGAGCTATTTCACAAAATGTGAGGCGGATAAACATACAAATTATTTCTCGTCTCGTAGCTCAGCGGTGTAAACCATGGTAAGCCTGTGTGATCTTTCTCTCCTCACTACGCCGACGATAGTAACTTACCTTTTTTGGATTATAGGGAATCTCGGTTCTATCGTCGTCTCGGTCGTCTTCGTTATCGTTGCTAGTATTGTGAGTAGAGGAGCTTTCTTCATTTATCACCGCATTGATACGTTTTCCGAGTTCCGCTTTTTTGGCATATCGTACCAACTTCTTACGCTGATTCCGTTTATATGCCTTTGAAGGAGTCGGTCCATTTCGTTTACTGGTAGACGCGTCCATTACTTGCTTAATTTTCGCACGACAGCTTGGAAACGTGGAACAAAAGTTGGTGGTATATTAATAGGTAGAGAAATCAAAAGCACAACTATTCGACGAGCCGTTAGGATATTATTCCTAGAGCCGATGTCCTACTCAAGACGAATAATGTATGCTTTCGCAGAAAAAAAAAGAAGCGTGCACAGTATAATTAAAAACCGGAAAATTATTAACCAATCACACACAATATCAGGATCGACATAGAAGTTCGAGGAACATCATGTGCGTAATTACCGAAATCGCACACAAATAACAAAGTATATAAATACAGTGAGTGGTGTGCAAAAAAAATGACAAATATATCTTATAATTCATATGTTTGTAACTTACTCAATTTTGATTCTAATTAC